GTAGGGAAATAAAACAGTGTTGCTGCTACAGCAATGACAATTTCAAGAACATGCCTGGAGATTCTAGCCTAAAGAGAATTTTCAACAAGGAATACACACGAAAACAAGACATGGATGCACAAATAAGATGCAGAGAAGGATAGGGGTATACCAACTGTATTAGGACTGCTGTAAACCACTGACATCTAGAGATAGGCAAGAAAAATGCAGAATAAACTATAGCACAAAACTTTCATATGCAGTAATTCTTAATTTATACTTCACAATTCATACTTAATTCACTTCAATTTTTTCCTTTAGGGTTTCCCTTTTGTCCTGCTCGTGATGAACAAGGCCCGTAACTGTTTATATAGATTAACACAGCAATGGCAGACATCATGTGCTTAGATCAGGTCTGACTGAAGCATTTACATCCTAGATGATACTGTAGATTTCCCGTTCTCTAATTTTTTTATTCTATATTACATTTTCAAGTTTAGCCACTGCTCTCCATGTAGTTCAGATCTCTAAGGCTAATAAGTGCCATAGAATTGCATCTAGTAGTTGCTATTCTGTCTGACAGCCAGTTAGTGAATGAAGCAGCCCACAATTTAGTAAGCTAGCAAAAATCAGTCTTAATGACAATCCCCTCCACGGGCCATCTACATGCTGCTCTGATATAATCACAGATCCCAGGAAAGACAGAATTAGATTGTGCAGCATCTTACCTGCAGCTCCTTTGAGACTCTCTCTAAGTGGTTAGTTATCTTTTTTATTAGGTCACTATACATCTGTTCCGAATGCTGCTGGCATACACACTTATACACACAACTGCAGAAACAAATATAGGAACAAACAATGAACTTACAACAGTTTGCAATGAAGGGTAACAGACTTCAAAATATTTTGTTCAAGTCTCAATTTAGAGGATAATAGGGTTAACTGAATGATTGGTGAACTTTTAAATACAGCCCTAAGCTTGGAATGAGCTCCAGCAGACTCTGAAGTCTCCCCTGGAGGGAGATCCCCATGTGTCCGTCCCATTCCCCCTCCCTGGCTATCGGAATTTTCTAATGCAAGTGAGAGGTTAGGTACCAGCTCCAAGCCTTCAGGGGCCAAGACAGTGCTCTCATTCAATACCTGACAACCTCAAAGTCTTCTGGAGGAAGGTTTTAGAAGTGAATTTACAAACTTCTAAAAGTTACTGATTTTATTCCTTTTGACGACTTCAAAAGCCCCAAAAATACAGCGTTCATCCCTATGCAAAGTCTGCTCATTTGGCAAACCATGCTGTTTCTTAAAAACCAAAAAATACCCCACACCTCTCCTATTATTATATTTTTTAAATTATTGAGTATCTGTAGTTTGATATTCCTTAAATAACAAATAACATCCTGTTTCTTTCACATGAAGTCTACCAATAGCAGATGCTATTTTGGAACAAGCAAGTGCAAAAGACATTTTGGTATGATGCAGTAACAGCAAAAATATCAATTTAATTTGGATCTAATTTAGATCAAAGAGAGAAACACTGATAAGAAAAGCCAGACTGATTTTTGTGATCTCCTACAAACCAGTCAGCTAGGTAACAACAGCAAAGGGCCATACGTTTGTTTGCTCCGTAACTAACCAGTAAACAGTCACTTCCACAAGCTGACCACTTCATTTACAACAATGTAACTAAATTGAATTTTAAAGCACACGTCTGCTTAATCTGCTTACATACAATACTGCTATACCTACTTCTGCAATACATTCTGTAGTCAAACATGCATCTTCCTACGTATGTGCAGAGTGTGTTTACGTTTTATTTGAAGACTTCTATTTAGAGGCTCCTTCCCCATTTTCAGATCCTGTTTTCAGTTCCTGACTGTGGGCTGATGCTGTGAATCATCCTTGCCCTGCTATTACCCCAAAGAAGTCACCAGCTTTCTCATCCCTTAGCACAACCAAATCCCTCAGAGGCAAAGGAAGACCCAAACAGGATATTAGAATGTAAACTTTTATTGAGGGGGATGAAGATGTGAGATCTCTAAGTTGTCTTGCAGATCAGTGATCTAATTGCATCGTACCTGGGTGGCAGCTGTAACAGCTGCCAGAAGCACAGCTTAGCTATTCACTTTCTCCTCATCTCAAAGTTTCCTTCGCATCTCTCTGCCAATATATTTAACTCTTTTAATAGGAAGTGACTATGCACAGGCAGGCTTTGGACTCAAAGATGAAAACAGTCACTAATCACGCTTTGATTTCTTATGGGTAAACTATCTGCATACACCTCCTAGCTTTCACTGCTGTGGAGTAGACACCTACAGTTATCACTGATCATATCAAATATAGTGGTCTGGGTATCTGATAATATATTTTTGAGTTTGCATTATTATGGAAACCTTGATTCCTTTAGTCAGCACAAAGATGATCAAAAATATCACTGTATTTTCAGCTCAGTTTCACTGTAAAAAAAATATAAGACACATAGCTGCTTGAACCACTCCAAAAAACACCCTATTTTCAGACTAAAGAACTACCCTAGATAAAAAAAAAAACCATAAGATACATAGCTGCTTGAACCACTCCAAAAACCACCCTATTTTCAGACTAAAGAACTACCCTGGGGAAGCAGAGAGGATCTAAACCTCAAGTTATTATTACTTTTTGTAATACTCCAAGCAAGCATCGTCATTGAATTCAATAAAAAAGCAGTTTTTCTTCCATCCTCAATCTATTGTCTAGTTGTCTAGATTATAAATAAGGCAAAGGGACACCCTCTAAAATAAAATAAAAAACCCCAACCTCCTGGTTGGAAGAGGCTGTGTCACAGTAACTACATCCACAGACATAATTTTTAAAAGAAAACTTAAAAAAACCTGACACATGCTAGCTTTATCAGTAACACTAAACTACAGATAATCTTTTGTTTTGGTAAAATACATGCAACAGACCTGCGTGCATCATTACAATACTTCGTCAAGTGCCCCCTTGATGTATAAGGCTTATCTACAAGAAACTTAAAGACCATTATTCCTTTAATAAATAAAACTTTTGAGCAGTACAAGGAGGGCAAAGATAAACTGCAGTTATCTGAAAACCATAACTAGGTACAGATCTACTCTAGGTATTAAAGCATTAATTTTGCTCACCTACTCTATCAGAGATGACTATGGGGAGATGTTGGCTTAACTCACTGATGGCTGGTTGCACATTGGAGATTTCAAGCTACGAAAAGGATTTTGATTACTTACACTAAAGCTGTAAAATGTCTCTCAATTCAAATTTACCATCTCAATTATTGAGACACATGCTGATGTCTGAGCCCTGATAACAGCAGTTCCAAAAGTTTGGAGGGGAAAGAAGAAAAATTAATAAAGTTTTTAAGTAGAGTTAAGAGGGAAGACTAAACACCAGCCCTTCTTGTATTTGGTTCCCTAATCCAAACTTTCATACTGAGAAACAAAGTGGCTAAGAGCAAGCAGGCAAGAGACAACAGAGCTGAAGGCCTCAAACAGCAATCAGTGACTGAGCTGCCAGTGTCATTTCATAGAACGCAACGCTATGGTAAAGAAAACCAAGACAGCAGTGCTACTAGTTCTGTTGCTGGCAAGGGCCAGCAGTTTTAACCGCATCTTGGCCAGTAAATGCTGCAGCAGCTGCCCAGTTTCCATCCTGTTTACCAACACCCTGGATACCTGTCACCTACAACACAACATCTCCATTTTAGTCAATCTCTTCAGAAACTGCTAGGTCTCCAAAGCATTTAGCATTTTGGTCTGGAGCAGTAGTATGGTTTTGAGGCAAATCTCCCACCCTCCCCGCGACTGCGCACTAGCTTAGTCTGCAGGGCAGTTCTGGTGTAACTAGATCCCTTTTAAAGTAAAGTAAACTGCAGCTCTGGGCCAGGTACAAATCAAATGTTTTCCAGACAAGAATGGAGCCAGAAACAACTGAACTTTGTGTCAGTCCTTCAGCCAGCCTCTAATGGCACATGCAGTGGGATGGCTGGGCAAGGGTGAAACCAAACCAAATCTACCTTATGCAAAACACACAAATGACAGTTTATAAAGATGGACCTTGGCACCAAGTGCTTCTGTTTACTTCTGCACCTCTACTGCACCAAATTGGTTCCTATTAGACATGACAAAGAAGCCTTCTGAAACATTTAAGTCAAATACCTACCATGCCAGTCTCTTCTTCCCCTTTTGTCAAAGGGATGTTGAAACTTCAATACATTTCTTAATATATTACACTAAGCAAACATGGTGCTTACTTTAATGTTAATGTTTTCAGTATTTATGCATTTTAATTCTTTAGCATTTATTCCTGTTAACAAGGGATGTCAAGATATGTGTCTATTATTCACTCATTCCAACCATTTCAACAATATTGTACTTCACATAACCTTTCCACTTTCCTCCTCATAAATACAAAATATGACATAGGCTGCAAGATAAAACAAACATTTAACTTTAAAGAAAAAAAAAGTAACATAGCACTTAAGAGATTTCCTTACCTGTATATTTGTTCATAGGAGATAGGGATGTAGTCACCAGGACTCTGAGTTAAAAGCTGATCTATGGCACTGTCCAACTTTGGCCAATATGTGCTCTTATAGTCTTCAATTGTTATAACATTCATTACTACAAGAAAAAGACAAAACTACATTTAGTAACTTTAGCTAAAAGATTAGAAGCAAGTGAATGCTCTGCAGTTTCGGATCACACCAATAAGCTGGCCAAAAAAAAGGAAACAGTACACTTCCGCAAAGATAACCTCATCTAAAACTAAAGCCCAGACTTGAATTTTTACCTTTTTATTTACAGAAAATAAAAGAAAATGAGAAAGCCTGCCAAATCAGTGCTTGGATATTTCTTAGGGGCCCAAGTAGCAGGGAAAAACAAACTCCTAGGAGTTCTAGCATGACAATATAGTAATTTTTAAAAAAGGAAAAAAAAAAAGAAAATGTAGTTCAGATTACTAAATTACGCAATAGTTAACACTGGGTGCTCACATGCAGGAGAACAAGCTTTGGCCAAGACTGGAGGTTTTTGGAATACTCCTTCTCAGCAGATGTATTAATTTTACATGTCTGAGGTGGGACCAGCAGCTTTCTTGGCCTAAAAGCTGATGCAATTCCCTCTGCCTTCAACTGCAGTTAGGCTCCCGGGCAACTTTTTTGGATACGTATTACAGTTCCTCCTCTAGCAGACACAGTAATACTCCTTTTCCAGATAAGAATCAACACAGGGAAGAACAGGAGGTATTTAAATTAGCATTCCCCATCACTCCTTGATTTTCATGAGCTTCCCAACTGCACCCTCTCGTACAAGCCACTCAGAAGAGTTTTAATCTCTCTCTTTTCAGGGAGGATTTCTGAACTAACCACACACGGCTCAGTTCCAACAGCAGCCATGGCAGAAGGGTTAGCACCTTCCCTTCAGAGACGTACTCACAGGACTACCTTGCTGGCTTGGCACACCACCACAGCCTCACAACAGCCACTCAAAACAAAGCCCTCAGTAAGTAACAGCACAGGGTATATTCATATCAAAACTGTCCAGGAAATCCACATGTGGGTCTGGGCTACATGGAACAGAGAATAAAGATAGTTCCAACCCCAAACAATCCAGTTTAGACACTGCACTGGAAAGAAAGAGTTTGAATAGGGCTACACACATAAATGTAGATTCACTGCTGGGTTTGAGGAACAAGATTTCTGCAATGTTATTTTCACAAAGGTTTGAAAGGAGCTAAGTCACTCACTTTTGGCAGCATTATGAAGAACAATTCTAGCAAAATACAGGCAAAACAGTTATCATGAGAAAAAGAAGAGTACAAAGAGAATGTGGAATAAAGAGAGGAATGTGGAATAAATGAGACAATAAAGTGTTTGAAGACTATCTGTAAGAGCAGGTATTACAGATTCCTGTTGTGTGTCTTTTTAGGGCATTAAAGCCCAAAACCTTGCTTAGTGAAGAATGTTAGTGCAGTACGCCTAGTCCCCGCTTCCCCCAACTAGCTACTGGTTCACTCCTGCTTCGTACCTGTTACAAAAACAGATCTAGCTAACATCACACAAGTCCAATTAGTGAAGCACCACCAAATGCTGTAGGATGCCATCCCGACACTCCAGCCCGCCATCTGAAAGTACAACACCGTTTGCTAACAAGTTGATAAAAGTTACGCGTCCGGGTGCACAACTACCAGGACATAAGTTAACGTGTCCAGCAAGTCAGCTCCATGATGTGAAAGCATCCATACGGTCGGGAACAGTGCAGCACCTGCTTGACAGTAAATTCCCCCTTATTCGTCTGTCTCACAATGACTTGCTTGAGTTCTCATCCCTTACAGAGCCCAGAAAAGCTTCATTTTTATTCAAAAGACTCTCACAAGTATTATTGCATTTGATTTCTACACTTCAGTTCTGAAACTAAGCCAACCATAATATCTATATAGTTAAGAGTCCAAAGACTACACACTGAACAATCACTATTTTTATTCTTCTAATCCAGAAAACACATTACTTTAAAATTTTAATAACTGTCACAAGTCAGTAACATCCTTTTTTTCTGGCAGTGCTTACACACACACACACAAAAAGCAAAGGATGACTTAAAGTAGGACCCTCCAATTACAAACTCTGCTAGAACAACCTCAAGACCAGGAAGGAAAGGAATCACACACACAAATGCTTAGAAAGAAAGGACAAAGTGCTCTCTTAGAAATGTCTTTAATTTTTTTTTTTACTTTTCCACCTTTTTAGGCTATTATTAAATGCTTATCCCTACATCAGGTATTCAAGATTTAAAAGGATTTGTCCAACAGCCACCATTTCCAAATCGCAAGGAAAGGGTGGTACTAGAAAATTACTTTGATTTCACTGAGATTTTATTAAGTTTCTGGGAAGTGACACAGACATTTTGTAACAAAGCATGCTAGAACGCATGATTTTATCTAATTACAGAAATTTTGGGGTGGGGCTGGGAGAGAAATCAGTCTGATCAAGTAGAAAGGGAGCCAGTGTTTTCCAGCCAATTATAAAAAACTTCACAAGTAAAGCCTGAGAAGCAATTGCTGCTTTTCCATATACAGAAAAGTTCAAAAGAAAAACTGTTTAAGTCAAATCGAGCAATGAAACCATTTAAGTGAAAAATATGCATAAGCTTCATATCATATCCTAGATATTGCAGTATCATAGCCATATTGAAACATAGCCTGCTCCAAGCTACCAAACTCTTTGACCTCAGCTTAAATCAGAAGAATGGCAAAAGCCCACTAAGATTTTAAAAAAACAAAAACAAAAAGTTCAGGAGTAGGTTTTCATCCCCCATGAAGTCGATCACACATAGCTCAAAAAAAGATGCCGGAACAGTAACAGGCACAGGATGTGAAGAATAGAGTAATAATTAAAAAAAAAAAAAAAAAAACAACAAAACAATAATCATTGATACTGTTGGTTTTGTTACTCAGACCAGACAACTTAACCTGAAAAGCTACTCAAAACACTTAATACATTTACATATAAAAAACATCCTTCTTTTAAAACTGTAGCTTAAAAAAGCAGGGTTCAGAGCAGGACAGGTAATCCAGCCTACTGTCAAGCAAGCAGATATCGATCTGACAATTATCTGTCTTTTATTCTCACAATAAAAATCAAAGAAAGCAGCTAGGCATCTTTCAGAAGCTTTATTTCATCTCACAAAGTGACATATATGAAGCCTTACTGCTTAATTAGCAATGCACCCTACAATCCCAAAATATTTTGTCCAAGTGTACAAACTCCTCAAGCAGATGTCCGAGACTAATCTACAGATGTGTAGCTATCCCTGCGGCTCTATGTCTTCCTTTTTCTCAGCCGTCATGCGTGTGTTTACAGTATAGATTTTGCTATATCCCCTGCCTGACACCTCCTAGCACACATTAACAAGTTGGTGAGTCTGACCTGTAGCTGCTTTCAATTCTGTTCTATTTTTATTACATGTTTCTCAGTCTGTGTTAAGGCTGGTTAGTAAAAGTAATCTTAAACTTTTTCTTCATCAGACAATTTGCCCACACAGCAAAGCACATGCACTGCACTAAACTACATTATGCAACAGATTTAATGCATTCGCCAGTACTTGCAGCCACATCTGCCCATCCTAACCAGGATGGGGGTTAAATACATTAATAATCATCCTTGCTTGAAAGGGATGAAAAAAAAAAACCCAAACCAAGAATGAAAACTCCTCATTTGCTTCACAATTCAGGTACACTGCAATTACTAGTACAGAAGAGTTTTGTTTAAAGTATTAAATGCTCTTACTCTTATTTTCTCCCTTATGGCCTTTGAAAAAAATTTTTCATAACACTATTGCTTTATAAATCCCTATCTATGACTAAAGCTGATCAATCGTAAATAAAGATTTGATTAAAAGTTTACTAAACCATGGAAAATTTTCTTAAGGTGCTTTAACCAAAAGAAAAGCTACTAAATGAACTACACATTATTATATCTGATTTTAGTTCTCAATTTCATAAAAAGCTCAAGAAAGGAGAATTGGATTTGGCCCCTTAGGTGAAAACTCTTTAAAATCTTTCTGACTTTCTTCCTCTGTTATTCTGCCAGCTGAATTAGACCAAAAAAGGCTCACTAGGCACTTCAGTTCGCAACTATGAACATGAGCAAAACCAACACGCTACAAGTAATTATGTATTGGAACACAGGCACTGGGGTTTTTGTTTTGGAGAAAAAAATTGGGAGGGAGAGCCCTATCTGAATGTCAGAGGCACTCCAATTTATCATAGGATTGTTGGAAACCGTACATCACCCACATTTTTGAAGGTCACCTGTAGGATAATCTGTCAAAGACTAAGCCTCTTTGTCATGAAGCAAGGCATGAGTCCCTGCTCATTCAACTGCAAGAAGTTCCTCATGCAGCAGAGCACAGACAACTTTCCTATCAAGCTTAACACTGACAACAGCTTCTCTCTGCATGTTCTGCCATGGCTAAGACAGAGCAGGCAGAAGGGGATCTAGCACATGCTGTCTCCCTTTTCACTGTACGTTTACACTGAAAGTGACCTTCTTCCCTTTTTCTATACATGAAAATTACACAGAGGAGATTAAGGGATCCTCTGCGAGAGACAGGATTAGAACAGACAGGATCCCAACTCAGCTCCCGTACTTTCTCAGTCCATATTACTTCACTGAACTTGTTATGTTCACATACACATAACATGAAAATTATCCACAACACAAGGTGCAGAAAAGTTCTAATGAACTTAACTCAGAGGATTTTGTATTTTACAGGAATTATAATTTTCTTTAAAACAACACTTAATATGAGCGAGACGGATATTGTGTTGGGATACCAATGCCTGAGAAGTGAAAACAAGAACTCAAAAGCCACACCCAAAACAAAATCACACACAGCCGCTTCTTCTCCCCCTCAGACATAAATTGTTGACTAGCTGGAAAGTCACCTTCCCATTTGGTGAAGATCCAGCTTGAAAACCATTTTTATTCTGAAACAGAAGAAAAACTAAGACTCTAAATTTCCAGATGGGGAATTCAAGAGCTTAGTTTAGCAAGGCCGAACAACATTTCATTTCAACTGACTCAAGTGCTTACAAGCCACCCCAAGATACCTGGAGCCCTGAC